GTCTCCGAAGCAGAAGGGAATTTTACCAAAACTGGACTGACCCCTGCAATGGCTTCTGGGACTGGGAAGCAAGCGGATGGGGGAAGCAGGATCACGTGACCGCACCGCACGCACAGCACTGCTGCCGAGACCTAGGCCCGCGGTCCACCTCCACCCTTGGGAGGGAACAGGGACTGAGGCTCCTACCTTGTTGATAGCGCCTCCGTTTTCGACGACTCCCTCCGCACCCACGATGACCAGGTCCACCTTCTCCATGATGTAGCTGAGGAAGGCAAGGAGACATGTTTACGCTCCTTTCCCCGCTCCTTAGGCCTCCCCTGCGAAGGTTAATACTCATCTCCGCACGGTGAGTTCCTCCTGTAACTAACGTGTTCACAGGGCACTTCACACACGAGGCGGCCCTGGCACTGCCGCCAGCGCATTAAACCCGTTTCCGTCACGACCCCACGTCACGCTGCCACCCAGTGCGCACAGGCGTGAACCCGAGCAAGACTCCCAGGCTGGCTTCTGGGCACTGCCGCCAGCGCATTAAACCCGTTTCCGTCACGCTGCCACCTTCCTACGTGGTGCTGTTCCCTGTTCTGCTTCCACACACACAGACCGGCATCTAAAGGCCTGATGTGCTCTCAGGCGGGTGAAGGCCGGTTCACCTTCTAAAGCCAGCCGCTGGGAGAACGCTTCAAATGCCCATCAAACAGCCCTAACTCCCTCTGCGTCTCCTCTGTAAGACTCTCCTGTTTTCTCTTGTGAGGCTCGCTGGCATGTGGCCTCGGCTTAGGTGCATGGCTGAGACGGAGGCAGGGGCCACGGAGGGCACCGTGTCCTCAGAGGAAGGGGGAGCACCCACCTCTGCTGACCTTACCCCGCCCTTCGCCCCCGCCCTTGCACCATAGGCGACATGAACGGCTCCCGTTGGCGCCCTGCTAGCGCCCTCCTGCCTGGCGTCCGTGTGCGCCATCAAGGCCTGTAACGAGCTTGCTGGTTTCAGGCAGCTATTAATTAAGAGGCGGGCGCCCTCCAGTGCAGGTTTATGACTGGGACTCAGACCTCCAACCTGGAAACCCGGCTCCCGGCCAGCCCTGGGAGGGGTGGGGCCGTCATCGCAGCCGGGGACGCCGGCGCTTACCCAACAGCGGCGTCCAGGACCACGGTGACGGGGACGTTGAGGTGGCACAGGGCTTTGGCCATTTTCTTACTGCAAATGACATTTTGAGAACATCAGCTAAGACCCAAGAAAGTTCCAGAGGGACGTATGCCGAGTCACGGAGCTGATGAAAAAGCTGCCGATCCTCTGACTGAGCTGCTAGGTCACCCCTGGGGCCCGCACTGCGACCCATTGTGCCTCACGTGGCTTTCCCCGGGACGCTGCGGGTCGGGGCACGCCCTGGCTCCTTGCGATGGCCTCTAGCCCACAGTCCGCCCTGAGAATGACTGCTGGGCGCAGGACCAAGCGCGGAGGTACTTGCCCGGACAAGTCCGGCTGCGACTCGGTGATGTACACACTGAAGCGCTTCTTGGCCGCCACGGCCGCTTCCAGGACCCTCAGGACCACTCTGGAGTAGGCGTGGGTCAGGATCCTCTGTGGACCGAGAACGCTCCGTCAGGGGGGCCCGACGTCCCCCCACCCCGGGCCCTCCAGGTGCACGCGGTGTCTCATGCTCAGGAGTGGGTGATGCAGAAGGAAGTGTGCTGGTGGCAGAGACGGCAGAAGCGTCTTATGAGCCCTGGGCCGGGCGACCGCCTTCACTTGCAGCTCCTCGCTCCTCCCTGGTCAACACGTGGCGGCTGTGCATCTGCCACAGCATTGAAATGAGGGTAAAAAAACCCCAACCCAGGGCTAGCCTCTACCAGGAAGACGGCAGCATCAGCCAGTGACGGGAGCTGCTCTGTGTCTACTTTGTACTAACTTAGCACAAACCCAGTAACAAACACTTCCTTAAGGCCTCTCATTAAATCAAGGCTCAGACACGCCGTCCCAGTGTCTCTGCCTGTTTACAATGACAACCATCTATGGCCGTACCTACGTTTATGTCGTGCCTACGTGTGCCAGGCCCGGCGCAGCCCTCGCACATACCACCTGGTTCTCTCACGACCACCCGGCGAGCTGGGCGCCGTGATTCCGCTTATTTAGCAATGAGTGCGCTGCAGCAGAGGGGTTACACGGCGCGGAAGGGGCAGAGGCAGGAATTCACCCGGGAGTCGTCACTCCAAAGCCCTCGCTCCCAGTTACCATACTGGTGGTATCTACTCACCGCCCCGTCTTTGATGAAAGTGTGGCACAGATCTGCAATTTTACTTCTCGCCAGTGATATTCTCCTGAGAAAAAGCTCTCCCCGCTCAATCATGATCTTTTTACACTTGGAGTAATCCTAGGGAGGGAAGAGCCAAATGAGGGCAAGCGGCGGGAATCCAGGCAAAGCGGAGAATGTTTGCAGCCAAACAGCAGCAGAGAAGGAACCGGGGCGGGCGGGGCTCACCGAGTATTCCAGGGACGCGAGGCTGATGAAGCGCAGGAAGAGCTCCCGGCCCAAGGACACGGCCACGGAGGAGTCCACGCCGCACAGGGTTTCGATGGCTCTGGTGAGATTCGCTCTCAGGCCCTGGATCGTCTCCCCTGGATTGATCACACGAGAAATGTGACGTCCATCTTAGTTTCACAGCCCCTCGGTGGGTCTGTCATTCATTCACTCATTCATTCATTCATTCATTCATCCATCTACTATGTACAGTTGTGCTAGTCTAGATGCCAGAGATACATCAGTGACCAAAACAGACAGGGTCCCTGCGCTGATGAACTCTCTCTAGGGGAAGAGGCAGCAAAGAAACAAGTACCCAGCGAAACAGGGAAGTTCATTACAGAGTGTAACGAGGACAGGAAAGGTGGGGCGATGGTAAAGTGAGCGGGGATGGCTTCTTGGAGCGGGAGCCCTTTAAGAGGGAAGGATCCAGCCGCATAAAGATCCAGTGGGAAAGGCCCAGGGGCAGACCATGACAATGCAAAGGCCACGAGGTGGGCACAAACCAGGTCTGAGAGAGGCCAGCACGGCCAAAGCGCAGGTCGAGAGAGCACGGAGGACATTAAGTAGCTGAGGCAGGTGAGGACCAGGTGTTTGGATGTTACTGGAAGCACAAGGAGACACTGGAGGTCGTCCTGGACACAGGTGTCTCCTGGCCAGCCCCTCGGATCAAAGAAGGCTTATCATTTCCCTTTCACAAGATACCACGCTACACCCACACGCTTACAATTGGAACGCCTGAACTGGCAGGTGATCGGGATGAATAGATTTAATGCCAGAATTTATCCTGGAACGTTCTCTGTGGCATCTGCAGAGAAGCTGGCACCGGACAGCTCTATACACAACTGGAAAGCTGACCTACTGCTGTAATTTAAGCTTCACGGGCAACTGGATATAGAACGGTCACTCCTGATTCAAAGTCTCTTTCATCTGTGAGAGGGAACCCGTTTAATAGTAGTAACTTGGGGGCTCCCTCCAGGGTGAAAGGAAGGCTGGAGTGAAGGGAGAGGCTGAGCTTGGGGTGACAGCACCGTACGCAGGGACACGTCTCTCTCACTCTCTCCGCCTCTCACAGTTGTCAGGAACTGTCCTGGGGCCAGTGTGTGCGGGGTGACCCTCACCAGTATCGCGCTTCAAGAACTCCAGCAGGGTCCGAATGGCAGCCACGGCCGAGGCCGTGTCGGGATCTTCTTTCATCTGAGACTTGAAGTACTCGATTAACTCTGGGGAGAGAGGAAAAAGTGACCCATCAAATGCACTGAGCAGGGCGTGAGGCAGAGAGCCTGTCAATATGGTTCACCATAAACATTTTCTTTCCAAGGGGCTTGGCTTTCAGGGGAATAATGGTCAGTGGGAATACAGACGATACTTAGAGGTCCTTCTCCCTCTTATCCGAGACCCCACGGCCCGAGAGAATCCCAGCCGACCACCTTATCCGTGTCTCCCGTACCCTCCCTGCAGTCTGTGCTAGGCCAAGCCGATTCAATGCAGGCTTATTCACGTGCAGGTAGGGGGCCACCACCTTTTATCTGCTTAACATGAAAATTAGATGTATAATAGTTTGCCCTTATGTTTCACTTAATAAAACACTGATAACCACACTAGATGAGCACATCAAACACGCCTTATTCTTCCAGTTCAGAGTCATTCCTACTCCACATATGGGGAGGTCAGGACTGCGAAGGCCGCACGTTCAAGGAGCGGAGGAGCGGGGTGTCTGCGGGTACTCAGGGCCCATCCCCGGGACACAGGACCACTAGAGGGACCAGAGGAACCACATCCAGCCGAGCAGCCTGGGCGTGCGAGGTGCAGGGACCCCCGCGGGGCTCC